GTAGAGCCCAACTCGTGAAAAATGTGTTACTGTCCAAATATTTCTGGGCCTGACTGTAGGTTCTTCCCCTGTTCGTAAGGGGGCACGGCCCGGAGCATACACCGCCGGAGTGGCAGCGGGCAGGATTAGTGGATTCTGGTTCTGATGAAAGTTTCATTGACTCTGAATTAGTAAATCAAGCAAACATTCCCACTGAAGCCCTCTCTGTGGGCGTGGTCAGGCAGGCGATGTCGGTAACGTGTGGTCAGTCCAGCAATAATCCGTGGGCAATCCAAAACGTGGTCCAGAAACAAGCAGGGGTCGAGGCCAGGGAAGCAGTCCAGGGGATCAGACGGGAGCGCAGAGTCAGGCAGGCTGGGTCGGGGACACGGGCAGGCAGGCAGGCACTGAGTCAGACCAGGCAGAACTTCAGGCGAGGCAGGAGAAACAGACGAGGGGCAGGCAGGCTCGGAAACAGGGTCAATCAGGTCGTAACAGGCAGGCAGGCAGGATAACAATGCTGGAAGTACTCACACGAAAAGGTTTAGAGACGTTCTGGCACAGGTGAGTGAGTGACAGTGGTATAAATACTGACCCGGACAGGTGCGACCAATGTCGCTGATTGCACGGAGGGATCGAGCCGGTGGGCGGAGCCAGAACGTCACACAATTAATGCATGCATGTAATTGCATTGAACAATAAATAATAAAACACAGTGAATGAATAACTAAAAAACTAAAAACAGCAATAAAAAGTCATTATCTATCCATCTGTCAAGCTGTCCATCTGTCTATCATATTATAATATAAATGATAAGAATGTACATTTTATATATATGCATACTGTGTATATATATATGTGTGTGTGTGTGTGTGTGTGTGTGTGTGTGTGTGTGTGTGTGTGTGTGCGTGTGTGTGTGTTTCTGTGTGGTAAAAATTGTTACAAAAACTATCCAAGACAAGTCTACAGTGGGGTAAGATATTCTGCTTTAAGAATTACAGTTGTGTATTGCAATTTGGTAGAAATGGCATTATTGAATTGCAACTCAGAAAATTTTTTTTTTAAATGAACAATTTGTCTTTTAATCTGAATTTGAACTCTAACAGGTTTGTAAACTACACACAGTTAAACGTATGAGACTGCTTTAGGTGAAATTTAAAGTTCCTTTTTTGCTAAACTTGACAAGGCTAGAAATGCCCCTAGTTGAAGAAATGCGCTAAAGTAAAAAGACCCTACATAGAATAAATGTTGTGGAAGACAGTTTTGCTGATGTTTTATTCCTATCCCTTTCCTGAAAATCAAAAGGGAAATTAACATTGCTACTCATAATGATAACAGACTGGTAAGAGCACACCTACTGTATTTTGTACTTGCTTGTCATGCTCCAGTTTATCAATTCTCAGCTTCAGTTTTTTTATTTGAAGCCTTTTTTCCCCACAATCCAGCTCTAACATGTGCTTGTACAGCTTGCGAACACTGTCCAGTCCAGCTTATACAACCAGTTAAGTCAGACAGGTAAGTGGCCATTACATTTAAGCATGGGGAATCAAACACAAAGGGTACAACAAACACAGGGCAATGAGGCTCCTGCAACACTTCTTGAAAAACACCAGTCTCTCAATTCCCAGAACTAATGCTGGAGTGTAATATTCCATCTTTCCAAATGATCAAGTGTAAAGTACAGGAGCAATGAAATGCGTTTACCTAGATGTGCGCATGTTAAGAGGAAGAATGAAAAAAAAATAGAGAGGAGGAAAAGAAAAACCTTTCTTACCGATTACATGATCTGTAATTTGTTTCCGACAAGCCTGCTTTGCTTTATTGGCAGTCCATGTGTTGCATTTCTATGTAACCATGCATTGTGATCCAATCCTCTTCAGTGAAATAGGGTTGATCATGCCATAATTGAGAATGGCATTCTATGTGAACACCCACACACTCCAGTTGTTAATGCAGTTTCAACAAATCAACCTCACAACCAGCTTCCTAGTACCAAATAACTCTACTTTTGGAACTCCAGTTTTGTCAACCCTGGTTTGAAGGGATAACCCTTGGTTACATCTGAGTAAGTTAACCCCGCTCTGTCGTACCGGCCCCATTCCTGTGTTGCTTTTCAAAGTATTTTTGTATTTCATACAAAAATGTTGTATCTCTCCAAGACCAGGGTTTGTGTGTACACACGCACACGCACGCACACACACACACACACACACACACACACACACACACACACACACACACACACACACACACACACACACACACACACACACACACACACACACACACACACACACCCACACACACACACACACACACACACACACACACACACACACACACACACACACACACACACACACACACACACACACACACACACACACAGACACACACACACAGCTTTGAGCTCAGTTTTTTAGTTGTTCAATGGTTCCGATGAAGTGGCACAGTGGTTTTCCCTAATCTGCATTCCTCCAGGTCCAGCACGCTACTCTTTTAAGGGGGAGTAATTAACAAACTGCTTCCAAGTGTGCCAATCACCTCCCCTATCACTGCTCCCCTGAGCCTTCCCCAAACCTCCCCTGATTCATCTGAGCACCACGTCCCCTCCACAATAGTAAACCTGGGTTTTAAGATGGACAAGAATTTTAGACTTGACCCCTCAGATCAGTGCAGTAGTGAAATTCTACTTTTTTTCAGCTGAGACAGTTGGCACAGATTAAAATAATTCTATAAAATAAACACTTAAAAACATAACATTCTAACCCAGACTGGATTATTGTAACCCTTTTGGTTGGTGTCAACAGCATTTAGGAGGGAGTACATTACTGCTGTTTTCTTCTCAGTGCAATGGCTGCCTGTTCATTTTAGAGATCAATTTGGAATCATACTATATGCTTTTAAATATTCAAACAGTCTGATACATGTAGGGTCCCCGCTCTGGTCTCAATCCAGCTGACAGGCCCCTGCTGGACGTGTCCCATGTGCAGAGGATGATTTTTTTCTGTTTTGCTTTAGCTGTAGCACCGAAAATTGTGAAATTTCTTGCATTTAATTTATTGTTCCATTTGATACACTTTTTTGTGCTCAGTTCTTAATAATATTTAGAAATAAAATTGCAGGGACGTCCAAATTCTGCTGGGACGCAATAATTAGGGGAGGGGAGGGGAGGGGACAGTTTGGAAATGTAGGCTAACTATTTTAACACTTTACAAAGTGCTGTGCTGCAACAACTATCTTTTGAAGATTGGCCCTGAAGTTTTTTTCTCCTTAGCATCTTGTTAGGGAATGTTATATTACTAAATAGGTTCTGTTTCATGTGTTGTTTTTAATTCACTATTCCTCATATTGTGTGTTCTTTTTTAAATACAGCAACATCTTATTTACTGTTTAAGAACTGCAACAGGGAAACAAAATGTTGCACAACATGACACAAATTCACAATAATAAAAGAGCTTAACAATTACACCGTACATTTTCTTCATAGCACCTCAGTACTTTCCGCTAATTCTACCTAGGTTAATGCAACTGTTTTAATCCAGAACTTTGATTTGCAGTAATGTCACATTGCTGTAATGCCACTTATATTTGAGCAGAAAAAGTTTTCTCATTTTTAAACTCATCTCAACACTTTCAACACACTTAAAACAATAGACTTTTATCAATTCTATGTAAACTCATGGGGTATGAGAAGAAAACGTTACCTATCATATTTGCTTTAGACAGTGGTGCAAAAAGCATAAATACAGTGGCACTGTGCAGAGGCTAATATATAGCATATAATAAAATTACGACTAGTCCCTTCTGTTTATCCAGACAAATATCTGAGCTGGGTGCATACAAATATATATGAAAAAAAAAAACTACTGTGCTCCTCAGAAGTGCACCAGTTGCACAAAAGTTAGCCTGATAAAACCCTCTGCATTTAACCTTTTAACTTC